ATGCTACAGCTTCTTAAAGCCACAGGTGAGAGTTAGATGGATCAGGAGGACACCACAGATGGAAAACAGCCCTGAAAAGAGCTCAGCAGCCCTCACCTCAGAGGTACTAGTCTTCTCTGTACACACCCTGCACCCCTACTCTCCTACCAGTCCCCAAGGCTCACAACCTGGGTGTCATCATGACTCCTCACTACCTTTCACCTCTCATACCCAATCAGTTACCATGACCTATCTATTTCACCTTTGCAGCATCTTTCGAATATGCCCCTTTGTTTCCTTTGATACTACCACCATCCTGGGGTTGGCCCTCACCTCCTTATGAGTGACACCCAATAACCTACCGGTTGGTCTGCCTATCACAAACCTCTCCCAACTCCAGTACATTTTTCACTCAGCCACCAAAGTGATATTCACAGTGCAGATCTGACCAAGTCACTCCCCTACTCAACAAACTCAAGTGGCTCTCTATCACTTCAAAAACAAATATAAAATCTTTCATAAATCAGTTCCTCCTCCTCATACAGGCTTTTTATTACACCACCCCCCATTGGCCCAGGTATTCTGGGATCTAGTGACACTGCCGTCCCCTTGCTATTGCTCGAACAAGGCAAACAAGACATTCCATCTCTCAGTTCTGGGGATGTTCACTGGCTGTCTCCCATGCCTGGAATGCTGTATGTGCTCATCTTTACCTCCTGGCTTTCCTGAAATCCCAGCTAAAATCTCACCCTCTACAGGATGCTTCCTTATCCTTCTTAATTCTAGTACCTTCCTTCAGGTGATTATTTCCTCTTTATCCTGTATATAGCTTATCTGTACATATTTGTTTAGGGCAGGTAGGTGGCATAGTGAATATAGTGCTGGGCCTTGAGTTAGAAAGACTTATCTTCTTGAGTTCAAATCTGGCTGTGGATACTTACTAGCTGTGTGATTCTGGGAAAGTCACTTAACTCTGTTTGCCTCAGTTTCCTCATCTGTAAAATGTGCTGAAAAAGGAAATGGCAAACTACTCCAATAGCTTTGCCAAGAAAATCCCAAATGGGGTCATAAAGAATTGGTCATGACTGAAACAAGTGAACAACAATATATTTGTTTGCACGTTGTCTTCCTTGTTAGACTGTGAGCCCTTCAAGGGCAGGGACTTCTGCTTTTTTCTGTATTCCTGGCACATTCTGGATGTTTAATAAGTGCTTCCAGACTGAATAATTGCTTATTGATTGACTGAAGGAAAGAACTAAAGATTACAGCCTGGGGGGGGGGGGGATAGGGAATGGTAGCTGATTCCAAGTATTTGAAGGGTTATCAAATAGAATATAGACTGGACTTGTTCTATTTGGCCCCAGAAGGCAGACCAAGAATAGCAGGTGCAAATTTAATTTCAGGTTTATTGTATGGAAAAACTTCTTAATATTTAAAAAGAGCTATTCATAAACAGAATGGGTTATCTTGGGATGTATTATGTTCCCCTTCACTTCAGATCTTTTAAAGCAAAGGCTGGCTATGTCTACTTGGTATATAGGAGAAGGGATTCTTTTTTCAGGTATGGCTGGACTAGATGGCCTCTCTCTAGTCCTTTACAGTTCTCATGTTTTGTGAGTCTAAGACTAACTATGCCATGGGGAAGGTGTTATTTGAGTAGGATTTTGAAAGAATGATAGAATTTAGAGACAGAGAAAAAGTAAGGCATTGTAAACTTTGAGAGAAGCATGAAAAAAAGTGCAGACAGGTCATTTATATGACCTAACAGGAGAGCAGTGTGTGGCACAAAACAGAAAGAAACAATGGGTTTATTGTGAAATAGTAAGAGATTGGTAAGCAGATGACGGTATGCCTTGGTTGTCAGTTTAAGGAATATGGAATCTATCTGAGAGGCAGTAGGGAAGGTTCCAACTAAATCAATATTTTAATCCAATTCTGTCAACACTGATTAAGCAAACAGGTACAGGGCATACTGTGTTAAGTGCCAGGGGAACATAAAGTTTAGATAATATGTGGCCTCTGCCCTCCTGGTGCTTACTGTTTAGTAAGGGACATAACACATACACAGATAATTATAATCCAACAAGCCATCTCTTATAACAAAAATATTTTAAAAGGAAAAAAAAAAGCAGTCGGTAAAGCCAAAATACACAGTGATGGTATGGAATTCCCACCTCTGCAATGAAGTGAAGGAGAGAAGTATATTTTCTAACTCTTCTCCAGGACTAAGCTTGGTCATTATAATTATGTATCATTCAGTTTCATTTTATTCTTTTCACACTGTTGTAGTCATTGTATATGACATGTTTTCCTGATTCTGCCCATTTCACTGTGCATCAATTCACAGAAGTTTTGTTATGTTTCTCTGGATGGCTGGACCACTTCACAACTCTACCAAGGGGATGTTAGTATGCCTATCTTCCTTCCAACATGAATAATTTTCATCTTTTGTCCATTTCACTAATTTGCTAAGTATGAAGTTAAAAGTCAGAATTGTTTTGATTGTATTTCTATTGTGATTTCTCTTTTTAATTTTCATATCTCTCTTTATCTACTTGCTCCTTCCCTATTGCTTATAAACATGCTCAACTGTCCAAAAAATTCTTAATTTGATACTACCATCCCCTCAACTCTTTCACTTTTTTCCTTCTCCCTCTCACAACCAAATTTCTAGAAAGAGATGCCTACATTCATTGTTTTTACTTTCTCATCTCACTTCTATTCTTACAATCTGGCTTCAAACCTCATTACTTAGTTACACTGTGCAGCAGAAAGGGCCCTGGAATTGGAGTCAGAGGACATGGGTTCAAATATTGACTCTGTCATTTTACTATTTTTGTGACTGGGCAAATCACTCAACCTTGCTGGGCCACAAAATGAGAGGTCTGGGTTAGATGCTGTTTGAGGTCCCTTTCAGTACTATGATCCTTTGAAACTGTTCTAAGGTCACCAATGATCTAACTGTTTAATCTAATGGCTCTTTCCCATGGATTTCTCAGCATGGGATGCTGAGAATTACCCTCTCTCTCTAGGATACTCTCTTTCCTCTCAGGGTTTTCATGACTGCTCTCTTCTGGCTTACTCTACTACCTGACCATCCTTCTCCATCTTCTTTGCATGATTATCATTCATGTAACACCCCACCAAGTGTGGGTATATCCAGGGGTTCTTTTTCTCTCTCTTTTTAGATTTCATAGGCTCCCACAGGTTCGGCTATCATGTAGAAAACGTCTGTATCCATACATTCAAATCTATGTCACCAATGACCAATTTGGATCTATTTCAAATTCAACAAGTCAAAACAGATAGACTCATTTTCTTTTCCTCTAAACCCTTCCCCTTTTTCTTCATGTTTCTATTTCTGCCAAGGACGCTACCATCCTTCAGTCACCTGGGTTTGCAACTTCAAGGTCATCCTCCACTCTTTCCTCTCTCTCTTATCCCCACTATCCAATTGGTTGCCAAGCCTTGTTGACTGTATTTCTACAGTATCTCTTGTATTTGTTCCTTTCTCTCTACCACTCTAGTTACCACCTGGACTAATCCAAAAGCCTCCTAAATGGTTTTCCTTATTCCAGACTCTTGCCTTCTTCAATCTCTCATTGTCAAATGGATATCCTTAAAGGTCTGATTATGTCACTCTGCTGCTCAAGAAACTCCAGTGGCGCTCTCTCTCTCCTTTAGAGTAAAATACATTATCCTCTTTAGAGTTTAAAGCTCTTTACAATGTAGCTTCGGCCAACCTTTCCAGGTTACCTAATGCTACACTCCTTTATGCATTCTATGTTCTTGTCACAGACTTACTTGCTGCTATCAATACACCTACCCAATCCTGCATGCACGCCTTTATACAGCTTGTCCCCCTGCCCGTGACGTACTACTTCATATTCAGTCTGCCTAATTTTCTTCAAAGCTCAGCTCAAATGCCACCTTCCACAGGAAACTAATTCTGATCCCCAAGTGGCTACTGTCCTTCCCCTTGGAAACTATTTTGTATATATTTTGCCTGTCCCTTTCTATGTACATATCTGTTGTAGAGCTCCTCCCCCAAGAAATAAACACTGCTCCTCGAGGGCTGGCAAAGTGTTGGTTTTGTCTTTGTATCTTCAACATCTAATGTCTAGCACAGTGCCTGACATAATATACACCTAAACACTTTTGAAAGAATAAATGAAATCGAGCCTCTTGGAGGTGAGTCATGAGGGCTTGCTCGGTGCCTGTCTGGGTAGATTGGTAAAGACTGAGCCAGTCTGAATGTACTTTATGAAGATTGCCCAAGCTTTAACCCCTACTCTAATCCTGTGTTCCCTCTCCTACCCCATACCTGTTTGGGACTATTGGTAGAGTTTTATAGTTCATTCATTCAATAATTCTTTATGAAGTACCTACGTGCTAAGTGCTGAGGGGTGGAAGATTCAAAGAATTTAAGGTCATAGTCCCTACCCTTATAAGATAGATGAGTTCCACTAAAAACTGACTTGCCTGATGATAGCACCTGGTGAATTATTCTGAGGGCAAGTATATGATGCCCTGAAATCCCAGAAAAGTAAAGAGTGATGTCAGCTCTTCCCTATAGAAGCCACATCAGGCAATTTATAACCCAAGTCCTACCAAAAGTCCATTTCTACCAGAGCTGAGGGCAGCTAGGTGGCATAGTGAATAGAGTGCTGGGCCTAGACCCAGGAAGACTCATCTTTCTGAGTTCAAATCTGGCTTTAGACACTTACTAGCTGTGTGATCCTGGACAAGTCACTTAACCCATTTGCCTCAGTTTCCTCATCTATAAAATGAGCTGGAGAAAGAGATGGCAAACCACTTCAGTACCTTTGCCTAGAAAACCCCAAATTGGGTCACAAAGAGTTGGACATGATTGAACAACAAAACCGCAGCTGAAGCTATGACTTTGGCCTGACCTCTCCCCTCTTCCGCACCCCCTTATTATTTTCAGGAATAAAAAGACATGAAGAAGACTCCACAAGAACTGCTTAGTTCCTTGAGGAATATCAGTGGATCCCACTTACATTTTTGTTTTTCTGGAACAACATTCTGGCTTCATTTATAATGTACTGCTTTTCTCTGATGGTGTCTTCCACCTGCCCTGATGCTGCATGCCACCTCCTTGCAAGCCTGAAAATCCTGCGGTACAGGCTGAGCACTTCTTGTCGTGTTGCTGTTGTCATCTTCAGAGCCACCAAAACAGAAAAGGGAAATTCTGTGTAAAAATTCAATTTGATAGTAGGCAGCCAGGCAGACATATATTTTTCACAAGCTCTTTAATTAGTCTAGAAATAATTGCTCTTTCTAAACATCTGCACGGTAAAGTTACCCAGAATTGGAGAATCAAGAACACCAGTTACCTCCCAAACATTTTTACTTTATGTTTGGCCTATAAAGTGTCAAGAGGTTGCTCAGCAATAGCCATGTTTCCATGTTGGAAACCTAAACTCTTTGGGAAACAGCTGGTTTGAGAGCTGTACTCCACAATACATTTCCTGGGGATCCCTTTAAAGTAAAACCTCTTTAACTTCAATACACTTAAGGCCTTCGGTGTTCTGGATAACTGAATTTTCCTGTTGGTGAAACGTTAACCTTTTAAGCATAACAACCCTTTCAAAAAAGTTTTTCTTAACATTAGTTTACTTTTTTACCCTAATAACTAGAAACACAAATGAATTTTTCTTTAATGACTGAGGCTCCTACAGGGCCTTTATCTTTAACATTAATTTTTCTTTTTAAATACTCTGTATATAGGAGATTGGAATGAAAGCGTGTTGACCTAAGGAGTTAGGCCACATCAGGACCTTTAATTTTAGGGGGCAAGAGAGGAAGTGATGGCAGGTTGGGCAAAATTTTGGGGTTTATGTTCTCAGCACCTGCTTCTGTATCTATAGAGCAGAGTTCTGTGGGAAAAAAAAATCTGGTTATTGGAGGACTCCAGTTGGTTAGATTTTAGCTAATAAAGGATTTACTAAACTAGGTCCCCTTTAACAAATGCACACTCCATTAGATCAATAATAGGAACACAATAAATGAGCTGCAGGTCTAGGAACAGCACCTATGACCTACCTCCAAGTCCCTCCTGTGCTCTCTGCAATCCTCCCTAAACAGGAACATCAGGATTGTGAAGTAGACTGATCACTGCTGTTAGGGAACATGACCCATTCTTATAACACATGAAGAGGCTTAATACCTGGAAATCAGATACCTGGGATGGTGCTAAGCTTATAAGAATTTGCTTATCAAAGAAAGCATATTTGAGCTGGAAATCCAAGTGCAAACACACATTCTTAATTTAAAGCTTACTTGCTATAGAAATTCATCTTAAAGAGTCTCTCTCATCCTAGGCAGGCCTTCAAGAATGATTCTTTAGGCTCTCTATAGATCCTGACTATAGTGACCTTTCTAGAGCTGTAAAATTTCCCATGATGAATAAACCATGTTTAACCAGTTAATTTAAACACTTTAAAACAGTTTTATACTGTAAATAGTCAAACACCCTGCTACACATACACTCAATGTCTCTAAAATCCATGATATTTCAAGTAACAAAATATTTAAGATGATTGAGGGGAGGGGGAAGGGGGAAGAGGTGGGAATGCCAAGAGGCAATTTTACAGTTTGTGGTTCCACAACTGCAAATCAAATCCAGAAAAGATGATGTCACTTTTTTTTTCCCTTGGTAAAGAAACTGTTTCTGAGTTTCTGGCTCTCCCAAAACTCCAAGGTTTCATATGAAAAGGTGAGTCAGTTCATGTGAAATACAGGGAGTAACTGACTTCTACTTAGTGATTGCTTCATTTTCCTGTGATTAAAAGACAAAACTTCCCTAACTGTATGACACACAAGCATGGAAGTGAGAAAGGCTGGTTGGTTGAAAGAGAGTTAAACTTCACCAAATACCTAAGGGGTTAATACCAATACTAATAGATGGTCCTTTGTAAAAGATTCAACCCCCCTCCACTGATAGATATGTATGTGTGTGTATGCATATATGGATGCATGCATGCATGTATGTCTATGACTACACAGGAAAGTAGACCACAAGAGAAAAATATGCTTGTCCTGTCAAAAGGCTCACTGGTAATACTGAGTAAAGTTCAATCCCTATTTTATGGCCTCACCATAAGGCCAGGCTTAGCACTCACTCAATTATTTGGAAAAAAGCTCATGTCCCAAGAGCTCCAGTACCAAGAACTAAAGAATACATATTAACTGTCCCTACTAAACCTATGAAAGGCAGTTCTGGTGTAATGGATCGAGCTGACCTCAGAGCCAGGAAGATTCAAGTCCCACTTCTGACATTACTGACTTCTGATCCTAGGCAAGCCCCAGAACTTCTCAGTGCTTTAGGCGACTCAAAGATTATAAGTTGCAGAGAAGGTGCTAACCTTCACTGGTAAAGGTAGGGATACCTACATAAATGTTGCAGATTGTGAACCAAGAGCCCTGTTTACTCAGTCCCACAGAATCAGTTTATGAGAGAGCCAGGATTAGAAGCCAGGAATGCTGACTCCTATTCTCATGTCCTAATCACATGCTCCTCCTTTTGTCTTCTCAGAAAGTAAGCAACAGAAACTCAAAAGCACTGGATAGCATCTCTACAACAGCAAAAATCACCACTGTCCCTTCAGCTGTTTGCTGAGTTTGGAATATGTTTGAAATATTCAGAGGAAAAGCATAAGGAGTTATCATATATAGCGTTTCTCAAAACACAAATACCACAACATCCCACCCCAATCAACCCAAAGGGTTCCACCTCTCTTTCTGTAAACTACTCTAGCCCTTTGTATTATCCATGCCCATTATGTTCACACTCTATTGTCTATTACATTTATTTCAAAATTTAAGAAATGACAAGCTTGTGAACAAATCTTATTTTCTCTTACCACTCTGGTTCCCAACTTATGGGCCACTGGCACTAAAGTGATTGCAAAGATGCTGTTAGGTATTCAACTCATTAGGTAACTCAATATAATAAACTGGAGAACTTATCTCTTGGTAGGTGAATAAATATGCCTTGTACCACTATTTTAGAAAGCAGACAATGTCCCAAGACTTGTAATGCAGTTTCAGGTTACTAAAGTTTAAAAGACTGCACTAAAACTTCTGGGGCATTCTTTATAGGTATCATTGTGATTAATACAATACAAATTAACTTCCTGAATTCAAAGCAGCTTTTTGTCATTAAAGATCTCTCATAAAACCAATATCGTGTAAGAATCCATAAAACTATTCCTCATACTCAGAAAATTTGGAACTACTATTCTACCAATTATCTCTAGGGTAGTAACCAATTTCATATTTTTATTACACTAAGCCTTTCCCACAGGTTCTTGCACATAGTAAGGCAGGCTCTCATCAAGTCTCTTCTGGATTACTGCAATAATCTAACTGGCTTCCCTGCCTTTAGTCTCTTGACTCTTCTATCCATCCTCCACACAGGTGCCACAAAAATGTTCCAAAAGCCAGGTCTAACCATGTTATTTCCCCACTCAATAAACTCCCATGACTCCCTCTTGCTTAACTCTAAGGACTGAATACATATCTCTCTAGTATTTAGAGTCATTCACAACCTGGCTGCAATCTCCCTCAGCAGGCTTACTCTTCTGGGCTTCTTGATGTTCCTTGTACACAATCTTCCATCTCCCATCCTAACATCTTGGTACAGGCTGTCTACTACACCTAGAATGCATTCATACCAACTAAATTACCTTGTGTACATTTTGTATATGTCAACAAAGACAAGCCAACAAGTCAACAAGCATTTATCTAGCATGTACTATGTGCCAGGCACCACGCTAAATGCTTGAAATATTGCACAGTAGACAACACTGGAGTTGGGAGTGCATCCTGGAGAAGAATGAAGACGTGGCTGACTGGGCCACTGCACACTCCCTCCCCTGAGAAAATTTCATTTTTGTCTATCACCAGCATCTAACACAATGCCTGGCATGACCATATATTCATATACCATAACTTGTATACAAGCTAATGCTCAACTGATGGGTACTGCCTCCCCTCCCCACCCACTTCGTTTCTGAGGTTTTTTTTCTTTGTTTTTTGCCACTACAAAAAGAGCTGCTACAAATTTTTTTTTGTACAAAAAAGACCTTGTCTTCTTTATCTTTTTGGGGGTAGAGGCCTAATAATGGTACATCTGGGTCAATGTGCATGCACATTAACTTCTGGACACTGTTCCAAACTGCTTTCCAGAATGGCTGGACCATTTCACAGCTTCACCAACAGAGAGTGCATCGTATGCCTATTTAACTGCAGCCCCTCTGATGTTATTTTCCTTTTTGTCATCTCTGCCAATTTGATGAGCATGAAATCAAACTTCAGAGTGGCTTTAGTTTGAATTTCTTTCATTATTTGTGATTTGGACCATCAAAAAAAATTACTTTAGATAGCTTGTTTCTTCCCTTTTCATATCACTGGAGAATGATTTATCATTGGATTTATCACTACCAGAAGATTCTTATGAAAATGGTATTTCTGTTGTGGCAAATAATACTTCTGGACCTTCTGTAAAATCAGATATACAAATACCTAGTATTTAATCTAAGCTTGCAGAAGCTTTATGGACTGTGTTACTGAAACTCCACCAATATAATAAACATTGATCCAGTAGCTAGAAAAACAAAAAGTCAAGAATCTCACACAAAATAAAATATTTTTTAAAAGTAGGAAGGAAGGGCTAGCAATTCCAGATTTCAAACCATATTACATAGCAGAAGACATCAAAACTACTCAGTAAAAAAACAGAAAAGTTGATCAGTGAAACAGATCGGGTACACAAGATCCAGAAGCAAATGAACACAGTTGCTCAGTGTTCAATAAACCCAAAGATCCCAAATCCCAGGGTGATAAGGACACAATGTTCTGCAAAAACTGGAAAACTGCCTTGCAGAAATTAGGTTTAAACCAACATCTCACAGCATGTACTACAATAAGCACCAAATAGACGCATAACTTAGATAAAAAAGGTCACACTATAAAAAAATTAGAGGAGCAGGAAAGGAGATATCTTTTACAAATACACGTAGGGGAAGAGTTGTTAACCAAACAAGGGATATAAAGGACTGCAAGACATAAAATAGAAAATTTAGATTACATCAAATTGAAAAGCTTTTGCATGAACAAAATCAATACAGTTATGATCAGAAAGAAAAACAGTTAA